AGGAGCACCAGTGCCTGCCAGAGCCCTGGCGTGTGCACATGTTTGTGTGGGGAGCAACTGTGCAGGGCCTGTGAGAGCCCTGGTTGATGGCGGCGCCTCCCTCCTCCACCTTCCACAGTGAGACAGGGTCTCTCCACACAAGGCTGACTGGCCGGCTTGCTCTGGGACTTCTCATCCCCCTCACACTCTGAATTACCATCAGGCCACCACGCCCAGAGGGTGTTTACTTCCCTGGGGGGGATCTAGATGCTGGTCCTCACACCCTTCGGGCACTTCACAGGCCGAGCCCCTTCCCCAGGCCCAGACTCTGCTAAACGTTCCTTGCCAAGTTCGCAGAGCCATTCGCGTGGCAGGCCTGAGCACATCGAACCACAGGGAACCTGTCTCTCCCCTCCAATCCCAGGTCTGCAGCACCCGGTCAGCCCCCAAAGTGGGGCTGCTGATTCCCCAGTGGGATTCAAACCAGACAGCCCCCTACCCAGCCCAGCCCTGATGCTCTGAAAAGCCACCTCTGTCTGTCTCCACTAGGTTCAGCTCCCTACCTCAGGTGTCTGCTGCTGTCCTCTCCTTGGGGATCTTTTTAGTGGCCTGTTCGTTTGCTTTGCTATGCTGTGCTGGGAAGGGAACCCAGGACCCTAGACCAGCTACATGGTGCTCTAACCACTGAGCATGCATCCCTGGCCTAGGGGGTTAAAAAAACGGTGTTGTTCCTTTTGGTGTGTGGGTTACGGTGGGGAAGGGTTTAGAATATCTCATTCTATCCCAGTCACTCCAGTAGCTCAGGCTGGCCTTAAACTTGAGGGAGATCCTCCTGCCTCAGCCTCCATCATGAGCTACCATGCCCAGTGGAAAGGTGATTGCAAGGGCTGCCACATAGCTCATCAGTTAAAGACACTTGCCACCCCCAACTGAACTCAGAATTGCATCCCCAAGACCCACGTGGAAGAAGGAGAGAAGCTGCTTCTGTAAATTGCCCTTTGACTTCCACAAGCTCGTAGTGGCACATGTGCCCCGCCCCTCCAAAATATATATATAAAGGCAGAGAACAAACTTGAAAAAAAAAAAAAGCCACAGCTGCTTTGAACTTTCAAATCACTGTGGGCCCCGGGGTGGGTGGGGTGGGAGGGTGTGGGCAACGCTTAGCGCTTAGCACTAGTATGGCCTTACTCTGTGACCCCAGCCCTGGACACCCACGTCCTGGTCCAGTCACAGACAGGTGACAGTGTTCATGAGCTGGCAGCCAGCAGAGTCTCATGAGAGACATTACTCAGATGCAGGGCAGAGCCAACTGCCTTCTCTTGCTGTTGCCAGCCAGGGAGCCTACACGTTTCTAGCTGGGGAAGAGCTGGGGACAGGCCAGCCACACAGTGAAGAACCCACAGCAACCTGGGACAGGAGCTGACATCCGGCCATCGGCTCTCTGACCAGTGCTCTACACCTCGCTCATCGGCAGCTCACAGTTAGCTGCATCCATGCCTGTCCCAGGCTTTCCTCGTGAGACAGTCAATGTACTACTATCCACGGCCTGTCACGGCTGCAGAGAGAAACCTGGTGAGATCCTTTTAAAAAAAATGGGGGGCTGGGGGCTCAGCATACTGGCTGAAAAGCATACCTGTCATCCAGGCGCATGGAAGGTGGAGGATCTGAAGGTCAAAGGCCAGACACACAATAAGAAAATCAGGGTCAGCCAGGTATGGTGGCACACACCTGTAATCCCAGCACTGGGGGAGGCAGAGATGGGCAGATCGATGTGAGTTTGAGGCCAGCCTGATCTACACAGAAAAACCCTGTCTTGAAAGCGAGAAAGAAAGAGAGAGAGAGAGAGAGGCTCTCCTACAAAGACAGGCTTTCCTATAGACCAAGATGGCTTGGTGCAAGGCTGGCCTTGAACTCTATCTTTTTGTTGTTTTCTTTTGGATTTTGGTTTTCCAAGACAGGGTTTCTCTGTGTAGCCATGGCTGTCCTGGATTCACTCTGGAGAATAGGCTGGCCTTGAACTGCCTCACCAGTGCTGGGATTAAAGGCGTGCACCACTACGAAGGCCTACTAGACACACTCATAAGTGAGAGGATCACCAGCATGAGGTCACCTCTGTAGGGTGCACTTAGATCTGGAAGGGGTGAGCTCAGACCTCAGCCTCACACACTCAGCATTTGTGACTTGTGTAGGATGAGACACTAAAGCCTGAAGTCCCCACATGCAGGGAGGTGGGGACAGGGGGACAAGGGGACCAGGAGGTCAAGGTCAGAAAGTTTGAGGCTAGATTGGATTGAG